TTTTTCAGCAAAATAATCAAAAACGGGTCATTTTTACCGACTTTGAAGCGATGTATCTTCGTTACTGTTCGTTTGATTTGTACAAAATTTTTAGGGTATACGAACAAAAATACGGTCTTTAACACCATATTTTTAATTTACTTAAAAAAATTCTCTATAGGTTATTTTTAGAACGTTTTTTTATTATTTAATTAAAGGGCTTTAAAAATTCTTTTTTGAAAAACTTTCGAACACGTTAACTGAGATATATTATTAAGTTGAAGTATTTTTATACAAAATTTTATAAAAATTGGTAAAGGCGTTTTAGAGTTAATTTTTTTTTACTTATTATGCGTTCATTTTGACGGGCAGTTATATCAGATATAACAGAAGATATTATCTTCTCCTATGGCACGCCGTTTTAACATTTATTAAATAATTTTTTAATTTAAAATTTTATTGGTACCAAAATAATTTAAAAAGTTAAATTTTTGTAAACTCAAAACTATTAATAATCAAAAAATATTTTAAATATAAAATGAAACTGTAAAAGTTTAAAAATATTAAATGGAATTAAATGGAATTTTAATATTTTATTCTTCAAAATTATTGGTTTGAATTTGTAAAGAGTCATTTAAATGATAGTCGATAAATTTTTAATACAAAAATTTGAACATTACATTTAAATGTTAGTTTTAAATTTTAAAGTGGTAATTTTTTCATTAAAAATTTATCGACTATCATTTAAATGACTCTTTACAAATTTAAACCAATAACTTTTATTTGTAACAATTTTAAATTGATACATTTTTAAGACAAAATTTATAACTTTACATTTAAATGTAAGTCAATAATTTTTAAATTACAAAGTGTAAACGTAGCTTTAGTAGAAGGCACAAGAGTCTGGGATCGGAGCCACGATGCAGCCAGTTTGATCCTCAGTTGCCAAATCGTGCTTGCTCCATAAATATTTGACGAGTTTTACAAATTATGGTAATGACATGTTTCTTTATTACATAAATTTCATAATAGAACAACAACATTTTAGTGGCTATTGTACTAACTTAATTCGACAATTAAAAAACATCAACGGATCAAACTGGCTGCATCGTGGCTCCGATCCCAGACTCTTGTGCTTTCTACTAAAGCTACGTTTACACTTTGTAATTTAAAAATTATCGACTTACATTTAAATGTAAAGTTATAAATTTTGTCTTAAAAATATATCACTTTAAAATTGTTAAAAATAAAAAAATTTGGTTTAAATTTGTAAAGAGTCATTTAAATGATTGTCAATAAATTTTTAATGACTCTTTAAAAATTTAAACCAATAATTTTGTAGAATAAAATATTACCTAAATTTAAAAATAAATATTTTTAAACATAAATTTTTACTGTTGCATTTTACATTTAAAATATTTTTTGACTTTTAATTGTTTTGAGTTTAAAAAAATTTAACTTAATAAATTTCTGTTAAAACATAATTTAAGTGGTAAACTTTAATCTTTAAACTTTTATCTAATAAATGCTAAAACGGCGTGCCATATTCTCCGATATTTTTTTTTAATTTGGCGCATACGCCTCTATGGTTTGACGCCCTTGATTTATTAAGACGATGCGGGTATTTCAGCTTTAGAGGCTGAAAAGCTGGAAATACCGGCTGTGGCAGGTCCCAGCGACTCTTCGACTAAATTCTCGATTTTGGACGATTGGTGCGAAGATACAGACTCCCAACAGTCGGACAAACAGCAAACGGCCATGCGGCAGGCCGAAGAGCACGTCAACAAATTAATGGACGACTGGGACGAAGAAGAAGAAGATAAAACAGGAAACAACGACTGATTTACCTTTTACTGCTTTTCCGAGCAAAACAATATTAAATAAAGTGTGAGGATTTGATCATGCCCCGGTATTTCCTACATCATATTTGAACCACCTTGTATATACATATGTAGGTAATCTGTCGTGTTAACACGAAAACCGAACTATTTTTAATACTGTGTCTAGAAGTCGTATCAATAATAATAATCAATTAGACGTTGATTAAAGTCGGTATTAAAATGTAATTTTAGACTATTCCCTGTATATTCTATGTGTTAATTCTTAAAGAGTAGATTTATTACATAAAAGAAACGATTTTATATAAATTAGGATTATTAATTTGACAGGTTTGTAAATGCTGCAGTTTTTATTTAAGAACCTATAGAAGTTTTGGTTTTATTGTTATATGTAAATTATATTGCCATAATATAAGTTTAACCTATATTTTTTGTTTTATTAAATATATATATTTCCTTCTTTTTAACTCAAATAGTTCGTCTGAATTCTACTGTGGAAAATACAAAAGTATTAAAAAAGACAACTGTTATTCTGCAAGATGTCCTGTAAGAAATCACTATATTACTTACTCTCTAAAAATGTATTAGTCAAAAATTTCATAGCCAAAAAGCAGCCACTAATAATTCTCGTCAACAGCAATTTGTATCCAGGACATTTAGCAGTCAATTCCTATGAAATATTATTCGCTGAATCCGAAAATGTCGTCAAAAGTTATAAAAGTAGAACAGTTTTTGAAATATCAATTTTACATATAATATGGAATTGACTATATCTCAAAAACTGCTTAAATTTTATAGTTTTTGACGGTCTTTTCGGATTCATGGGACAATTTTACATAAGAATTGGCTGGTAAATGTCCGGGATACAAATATAGTATGATATTGGACATATGTCCAATAATAGAAATTTACATTTTTTACCAACCAGTAATTGGACACTGGCCATTTTACTGTTTGTTTTCAGAATTAAAATTAAAACGCCTTAAAGGGGCAATGTTTAAACCATGAAGAACACATTTATACCACACACTGAAAAATATTTTTTATTGTAATTTAAACACAACCCTGCTCTTAACAAAAAAAACAAAAATCTTACCACCAAAGTAACGTGCGAACTTTTTGTCCTATATTGGACCCAAAATAAAGTAGTTCTATAATATTACCGACTCAGATAGATATTGTATACAGCGTCATCTAATGATTTGACTTTAAGGTAACTATTTATAGAACTCTTGTTTTTACAGTATTAATGTTAATTGTCCAATAACTATAAAGTGTCCGATAACTGTCTACTTTACCCTTTAAATTCGTTTTTAGATTATTATTATGCACTGTTTTGCAGAAATAATTCACAAACTTTTTTATTAAAAAAAATATTAATTTTTTCTTTTTTTACTGTATTATATAAGAATTATTACTTATAATTAACTATATTTCAATTAAAAAACATAAAGGTTTTCAATTTTTAAATGCGTGTTAAATGGTCCTAGAGCGTTAATTGAGGAAATAATAAAAAAAATATTGCAAAGAAAAACTTATTTTTTTTATTTTTTACTGTGTTAAATAAGACTTAATGGGTATAACTAAGTATATATACTTATATATAATATATTTTAATAAAAAAAATAAATAAACATAATTTAAATTTTAACATTTATTCCATTAATAATTCCTTAACTTCTTCAAGTGTGAATTGATTTTCATACAAATTTGAAAATCTCTTTAAATTTTCAGAAAATAGACTAAAGCTTAATTTTCATGTATCCGTTTGTCCGTTATACGTTTGTACGTTTTTCAATAAAATCGTCCAATAAGAAATGTTCTAATCTTCATGCATCCGTTTTTATATGATGTTTAACAGATTGATTTGGCGTCAAATAAAAATTAAGGTCAGTATATTCACTTTACTAAATTTACCTAATGCTTAATTGTCATAGTTACAATTATGTCAACAATTGTAACTTTAACAGTTAGCTGTCTAATAAATTTAAAGGTAGGTAAATAATATTTACTAAATATACCATATAAAAAGAATATACTAGCCTTAATTTACATTAAAATGTATAGTTTTAAAAAAGCAGGTCCTTTTAGTTCTGGTTTTAATATGTTATTGTTTGTCTTTTCTTTTTTTCTGTTATTATTATTAAATAAAAACATAAAAGTAGAACATTATTCACATAACGAACGTTATATTTCCGTTTTACAATCTTATTAAAAGAATATTAAAAGATTTGAAAATAAAGTACCTTAAAATAACGTTGGGCTTCAAAAACAGATGTGTAGTGACAGATTAGTTAATAGTTATTTATGTATTAAGGGTTTTATGGTCCGAGGCGCTATTTCGAGCCCGAGCGCGTTAGCGCGAGGGCTAGAAAAGCGTCGTAGGACCATAAAAACCAGTTATGCCAGCAATGCATACAAAACTTTATGCACGATTAATATATTATTATTTTTAATATATTATTGTTTTTAAAGACGTTTACGTCAAAGAATTTTTGTTATAATTGTCATATTATAATGTCAACTGACATCAGTCAGTTTTAAAGTTTAAAGATAAATAAAATTGAGGAAGCAGCTGAAAAGGCGAAAAATTGCGGCCTGCTGCCGGTAAAATCAAAATCTTTATACGAAAAAACTTACTTCGAATATATCAAATGGTGTAACATTGTTGTTTTTAATTTTTGACGTTTCATTATAGCCCGCTGGGCCATAATAAAGCCCGCGGGCTATAAAAAGACGTTAACGTCAAAGAATTTTTGTTATAATTGTCATATTATAATGTCATCGTGCATAAAAATATTTTAAATTTCTCCGTCAGACGTACGAAGTTAAAACTTGACGGACGAAAAAAATGTCATAATTTTTGAATTATAATTGGACCAATAAGAGCGCTCCCGGATGAACGGACAAACGGATAGGTACATGAAAATTAAGCTTTACGTCTTTGTCACTATTTAAAAATAATTCTTTACCAAAATCTATTACCAAAAATTAATTTAGTTGGTGTTCTTTGATTTACCCTTATTATCGGTACAAGATTACCTGTACCAGAATATAAACGCTATTTTCATGAGTAAACCATTGACTTCTTCACTCAACGAGTAAACTATAGGCTGCGGCGGTGCAGAAATAAAACTTAAAAAACGACGCCGGCGGCGCAGTAGACACTTCCATAGAAAAAAGGTGGACAAAGTGAGGTTATGTTAGTTGTCAAATTTTGTTGACAAACATTGAAAAGTAAATATATAAGAAACCTGTGGAAAATAGTTACCGGATATTTTTAGAATGCTGAAAAATATGTAAATAAGAGCAGATTAATAGACCTAAAAATGCCCGGCCCCAATAGAAGGATACCAAGAACAATACGAAATCCTATGCCGACAATGATATCAAACTACACAAACGATATGCAAAGTAACAGATACTCCACTGTTGGAGGAGGTCTCCCAACATTGCCTCCAATGGAGCAACCACCTGCCCCAAAACATATACCATTTCCAAACATACCCGTTGAAAACGAATTAATTTTTGAATCTGTGATGTGTTTCTTTACAATTGTATGCACGTTTTTACAATACTTGCACCTTTACCGATCAGTATGGTGGTTACCACATTCATATACCAACAATGCCGTTGTTAGTAATACCAACTTAAAATTACAGGGTGTTCCAATATAAATTTGGGACCATCCTGTATAAAACCAATACCTAATTATTTCTTTTTAGAATTTTTATCTAATTGATTTATACCTGATCGTTTTTATAATACTAGTGTTATCACGAAGATTGCTTTATGTTCTTGGATGTCAATTTTTAATCAACAAACTACCACCGAAGTATCAAGATGTTGCCTACTTTTGGTTCCGATTGGTATTATTTTGCCAAATATGTTTGTTTTTGTCTGTTTGTGCATATTTTGTTATGAAAAGTCATCCTATAGTCAACATATTGTATCTGTGCTACCCGTAAGTATACTATAATTATATTATTTAGTCATAAATAAAAACTTAAAACCTACTAAATTTTCGACATTACATTTATTCATTTGACCAGTATAATGTCTCTATTTTAGTGTTCTGGTTTATATTATACTGTTTGGCCCCCATATAACCCCATTTTTCGAGCTGACAAACTGGAGTTCGACATGTTTTCCCCCATTACACGCATGCTGTTCGAATGCGGTGGAAATTCGGAAAGAAGTCAATAGTTTAAAGCTTAACTTTAACAATAGAGTGAAGCAAATTTTATTTAGTTCAATTATAAATGCCTACTATGCTGGCTTCATACCATGTTGTTTTGCTCAGGTAAGATTTCAAAATATAGTTTTTAGAAATTTCAATTCCATCACAAATATACGCTAAACAAGTATCGCTAGTAGCGCCACCACTCGGCTGTTATCATCGCAACAAAAGTACAACTTTTGATAATCAGCTGTCAAACGCTTGTGTTACAAACGATTTTTTTTAAGAATAAAGCCGGAAAATGTTAAAAAATATCGGAAAAAAATCCGTGGCTCGATTTGTTGTTTTGTTGGGTGTATTTCGAGAGGAAATCCTGGGTTGAGTTTTTACCGGTTTTCCAGTAAACAGTGTTAATCTGAATGAAGAAATAAATTGCATACAGTCTCTGTAAATATAAATTGTACCTATTAGATACAATAAATACACATTTTAGAAGTGATTAACGTGAAAAGTGTAAACATTTCAATTCAGTAAAAATCGTCAAAGAAATAAGTCGTCTAAATTTAAACAGCATTTAGCATTATTAAAAGCCTTGATTAAGAAAGTCTCCACACAACGGTAAAATACCATTATATTATTATGTATTATATATAATATTATGTTGCCATGAATTCGTAGGTATATTTTGTTGTTTAAAATGCAGTTGTCGGCGTTTTTTAGAGAACTCAAATATAAAAATGGTTGATTTTAAGGTTATGTTTGTGAAAAAATTATTTTTTACTAATTTCTTAAAAATGTCCAAAATTAAATATAAATTATATTGGGTAAAGTTATCATTAGTTTATTCTGCACCAACAAATGTACTTACCGAATTGGATCCTTTGGCAAAACATGAAAATGCAACGATTTAGTTCTTAGCTGTGCAATTGAACAAAATTTGTCGAGTATGTAAGACTTCTGCCTTCCTCCCTTTTGTGTTTTGTGAAAAAACTAGCTATTTATTTAAAAATGATATACAGTTCGTATGCTTTAAATGTATTGAAATCTGTACCATGGCAAGATTTGTTGTGTTGTTGGGTGTATTTCGAGAGGAAATCCTGGGTTGAGTTTTTACCGGTTTTCCAATAAACAGTTTTAATCTGAATGAAAAAATAAATTGCATACAGTCTCTGTAAATATAAATTGTACCTATTAGATACAATAAATACACATTTTAGTAATGATTAACGTGGAAAGTTTAAACATTTCAATTCAGTAATAGTCGTCAAACAAATAAGTCGTCTAAATTTAAACAGCATTTAGCATTATTAAAAGCGTTGATTAAGAAAGTCTCCACTCAACCGTAAAATACCATTATATTATGTATGGATAATATATATTATGTTGCCATGAATTCGTAGGTATATTTTGTTGTTTAAAATGCAGTTGTCGGCGTTTTTTAGAGAACTCAAACATAAAAATGGTTGATTTTAAGGTTATGTTTGTGCAAAAATTATTTTTTACTAATTTCTTAAAAATGTCCAAACTTAAAGATAAATTATATTAGGTAAAGTTATCATTAGTTAATTCTGCTCCAACAAATGTACTTACCGAATTTTATCCTTTGGCAAAACATGAAAATGCAACGATTTAGTTACAATTAAAAACACAATAATTCACCAAGATCCCTTTAATAAAATACACACACCAACGTAACTATATAAGCATTTAAGCGTTGAGTTTCTTAATCAATGATATAAAGATTAATCAATCGAAATCGAGTACTAAACCAGTTTTTTAGTTTTTTCGTTGCAACGTAAAACACAAATAACGTGCGCGATTTAGCTGTGCAATTGAACAAAATTTGTCGAGTAAAGCTACATTCGTAATGAATTCGCTGGCCGAGTGACACTTTGGCACGCAAGTCGGCACGAAATTTACCATTCACAATAACTTTAGAGTCGAATTTAACGCATGGGCGTTGGTAACTGTCATGTTCTTTGTAAGGTTAGAATTTGCATTATTTTGTTTTTGCTTGGTGTTATTTTTATATGCAAAAATGGACAACAATCAATCAAATAGTTTACTTATGTTGTGTAATAGTTTATTTAAGGATACATTCTTATTAAAATGTGTTACAAAACACTAATGTTCTCTTTATAATAATAAATAATAATAATAAAAAACTAGTATACATTAAGTTACATACATACATACATACATTTACATTAACAATGGGTAGTTTATTGAAATAAAGCAAGAAAAATGTATTTAATCACATTAAAAACACTACACACACAAAACTCAACGCCATTGAAAATGTCAAACCTTCATAACAAAGGCAATGCGCATGTCGCATAGCCGGCACGAAAGTCGAAGTTGAAGTCGAAGTTTGCAGCTTGCAAGAAATTTTGCCCACTTCAACTTCCACTTTAACGTCGAATTTCATTGTGAACGATCACACTGTTACACATTTGCTTAGCTTGCGAGTCAAATTGCCACTCGGCCAGCGAATTCATTACGAATGTAGCTTAAGACTTCTCTTTTGTAAAAAAACTACCTATTTAAATGTATTGTTGACAATTCTTAAATTTACGCAATGCATTAGTCCACCATATGGCGCGCGTTGCGAAAACCCGATACTTCTTTAGCGTATGGCAAAATTAAGGTTACCTTTTGGGCCAATCTACATTTATTCCATTATAATTTCGACAGTTAATTGACAAATGTTTCAAATTAAAAAAATATTCAATAAATGTTATACTTCATTTTTTTTTATCTGGACTGCGGCAACGTTGCAAATTTAGGGTTTTGGTTATAGTTGTTACAGTTGTCAAGTTGGTCGCATTGATTAAAACAAACCAAGCTAGTTATAAATCTAATTGTGGTTATGTATAAATTATTGTAGGTTACATGAGTTGTCGAAATTCGTAGTTAAAAATGCAATTAATTTGGCTTTGGTGGTGCTTGGATGGGTAAAATCATATAAAAAAAGAAAGTTAAATATAGGTTGCTTTACGGCCCAGAAGAGAAAGTATTCCTAGCGGATAATAATCTTCGCTTTGAAAAGAATTTATAAAAAAGAAATTAAAATTTTTTGTGAACGTAAATGTTGTCCAATGGTGAATAATGTGAAAATAATGTGTGATGTAATATTTATAAAACCAAATTCGTTACTTTTTTACTCCATAAGGCGATGTACTTTTTCTTCCATTGTGGCATTTGGCATAATTTCATCAAAATGAAGTTTTGCCCTCAAAAGGGCTTTTACATTCGAATTCGTTGCTATTATTTTTGGCATAATTATCTTTTTATTTATAATTGACAAGTAAATTATCAATAATAATAAATATTGTTGTCAATTTGACAGTTTCAAAATATTTAATTAAATTCTTTAGCAGAAGTACCATTTTTAAACACTAAAAACACTAAGTCAAACTGGCATAAGCCACACACCTAACAAAAAACACGAGTCCAGATAAAAAAATGAACTGTAAAACTGAATCATCTTGTGTACATTTAAATGTTGCCTTAGAGCGCCATTCACTACGATATTCTATGGGCCACACAACACGTGGTGTTCATATTCGCCAGTTGTTTCGTCGCTTTTGCCATACAAATCCTCTCTCTACGCTACTGTGATATTTTGCACCGTTCCGCCCTTCACCTGGGCAACTGGGATCGGCTGGAAACCAGGCACATGCTTTTGGTGAACAACAGCTGGAAAGAGGACATGTTGTGGCCTTACGGTACCCTGGTAAGGTACGGGAGAGACATCTACCGGGCGATAGGCGAATGCAATGCCGGGGAACCGGGCAACACCAGTCTTTCCAGATTTTACGTGAGTAGGTGCATATCTGTACTTCCGAGACAAACTATGTTAAACCCCAATTTTCCAAAAGCTCGATAAAACCATCATATGGCCAAAAAAGAGAATCCTATCGCTGTCCTTAGGAGCAATTTGTGTGTCAGCCACAAAGCAACATTGCTTTATTGTATTACTCCTAAGGCACACCTTACAGCAGCCATAAAACCTATCTTACAGCTGTCATAAAACCTGCTAAGTGCAATAGGTTTTAAGGAGGAAGTATACTTTAAAAGTAAACACATTTTAGCTGACAAACTACTTTGATATACCTTTTTACTTTATTGTTGTACTTTGCAAATTCCATTTTGCTTTAATCAAATACTTGTTTGGTATATTGTTGCCTTATGAATCACAAGCATAGGCCATTATTGATTTTAAAAACTTAATAAGAAAATTATTATCTTTTGTCACCCAATGCAAAAATCATAAACAAATACCACTTTACTGATAACAGTTGATTGCCGAGACAAAACGTATGATGCCCACTGAAATGCGCTTAATTTAAACAATTTTAAAGGCTTTGGCTAAATTACTTACCCGATCTACATTCTGTTTTTAAGCCATCTCTTATCGAAAAAATATTCTCTAGTATTAACATGCTCGTAAAAACCAAATTTTAAGTAAATTTCTGAAAAATATCTATTCGTATTTTATATTAAAATTCATCATGGCGGAGCAATATTTTCTAATTTAAATGGCGGTTTCAGTTATAAAACAATGTACTCTTGCAAACAACTGCTAAAAAGTTTAATTGCTTTAAAAACTATTTGTTAAAACTAATAAGCCCTATAACTGCATTTTTCAAGGCAATCATAAAACCAATTGTGCGAGCATTTTAAAACAACTTTGCAGTATATTCATCAAAAGTATCGCCATCAGGGCTATAATGCTTTGTCAGATGATAACACCTAAACATTTTCTTAATTTCTGTGATAGAATGATGCGGATTTAGCTCTTGTTTGGAACAGGACGTTGAAGGAATATAATGAGTATTATCAACCGGATGTTTTGCCAACAACACAGAAGAACAACTTTTTAAAGCTCTTACAGGAGCCAACTTTGTTTTTCTATAAAAATTTCCACTTTTTTGAACTTTTAACCACCGCTCTAAAGAACTCCTCGTGTATGGCGGCGACATGTTGACAAGAGATATTTTCTTCGCCATTATCAAGACAAAAACGTTTTAAGAAAGAAATATTAGCAAAAAAATGGTTTACACTCAGGCAAATTTGCAAATTGGAAAGCAAATTTGTTATATTAAAAACGTATTGCTGCTCTACTAGGAACAATCATAAAACCTTTGTACAGTTTGGTTCTGTAACATTCTTACATAGAGGAAAAGTAGTCCCAAGACCAAATCCTCCTATGAGTCGGCTTTAACAGATGCATTAAAGTCAACTTTCCGAGCACCATTAAAACCAATAGGCATCTGATAAACCTTCATAAAGCTTATTGAACTACAGGCGTTTCTTAGGGGCAAGTTGCCCTAAAAAAACATTCGCTCATAAAGCCTAATCATAAAGCTTCATTATCTCAAGACCAACTAGCACATGTTTTCATGGTTGTACAGAAATAAACTTCTAGAAATGTTGTTTTTGTGACTTAACATAATTTGTTTCTCAGGTACAGATATGCAACATAGTGTTCCAGAATTATCTCTTATGTTGTTCAGGAACATTTTACCTCAAAGGTCTTATTTTTTAAAAACAAACTTTTTGTATTTTAGGTCATATTTATCAATCCTTCTTATTCATTGAGCATTCTGCTGGCAATCCAAACCTTTATCGTTCTATTGCAACTTTTGCTGCTTGTTAGAAGCATCGTCTGGTACAACGTGTTTTCTCTGTCTTTGTTGCTATTTTTCAACTATTACGTTCTCTACAAACTCGCCAGAGACTATTTGATTAGCTTCAGGGTCTATAAGGAGGAAAGAGAGATGCACACCAAACCCATAAGATAATTTTGTCAAAAAGAACTGATTTATGTTTTTGTGTATTTTATGTATGTGTACCTATGTATTATTTAAATTAAATTTATATACCTATGTGTAAAGTTTTTTATTTATTGAACCTTTTAAATAAAAAAGCTATACGCTAAAGAAGTATCGCTAGTAGCGCCACCACTCGGCTGTTATCATCGTAACAAAAGTACAACTTTTTATAACCAGCTGTCAAACGCGTATGTTAGTGTAAACAGTCAATTCAGTAAAAATCGTCAAATAAATAAGTCGTCTAAATTTAAACAGCATTTAGCATTATTAAAAGCGTTGATTAAGAAAGTCTCCACTCAACGGTAAAATACCATTATATTATGTATTATATGGGTCATTTTCAAGAAACACCCGCTTTCAGGAAAATGAATGAATAAATTGACTTTTGGTTGGATTTTTATAAACTTACATTTAAGACAGAAAAATGTGTTTAGCTAGCTTTATATAAATATCTCCACTGTGTTACCAAAATTTAATTCAATAAAAAAAGTTGTTATAAAAATAATTTGAAATAAAATGTACTTAGTTCACAAACTTTTGACTCCAATTTTGTATTTTATTTTTTATTAAAAATTGTAACCTTTTTTTAAATATTTATGTTAGTTAAGTTACTTTTTAAAAGAAACCATTCCGATTCTTTGTTAAAAAAACAATACCATTAATATTTTCTTTTAGTCACTGCATTAGTGAGTTAAACTCTAATTTATAAACAGGTATTGCCAAGTGATAGTAAAATCATTTTAAGGATTTTTTCTAACAAAAACTAAAAAAAAGTAACGAAATAGACATTGGTATCACAACGGACTTAATCAGATAACGTAAAAAAGAAACTATATAGGGTGGTACGATTTTAGAGTAATGCATAAACAAAATCTCTTGTAGTGGTGCTCACTTGCACAATAACAACTTAGATTTCTAAATTATAGACACCCTTTTTCTTTTACTATAAGCTGGTGGATGTAATCTATATCATGAGTTACAATTGTAATCACAAATAATTTTAAGTTGGTTTATCATAAACTACTTTTAATAAAAGCGACGGTAAATATCCACTTTGTTATCGAAAAATTCTATTGCGTTACCCTAAATTCCATTGCTTAGTGGAGTCGGTAACGCAGTGGACAAAGTTTTGTGAAACCATATTTAAAAAATAATAATAAGACATTACAGTCATTAATTATTCTCAATGAGCTGTAGTGCCCTAATATAAACTTAAAACTTGAAAAATAGTATTTTTTCTTACCTTATTTTTATTATTTTTTTGAGTAACTTAGCAGGCAAACAATTATTACATTCGCGTTACCCGCACCTGTTTCAACCGATATCTTCTTCCTGAGTGAATGCCAAAAAAGTTGCCATATATATGTTTTTTTTTAAATATTCTATCGGTAACGCGACGGACGCAACGCAACGGAAAAAATGTCTGGGACATGAGTCAAATTTTAAAAAAAGTAGTTTAAAATTAATTATTTTATACAGGGTTTTCATTTTAAAACGAACCACCTTAAATATCTTTTAAATTAAAAGAATTTTAAAAAATCCAAAAAATACGCCGAGTTATATAAGAAGGGGTAACTTCTATCACATTATTTAATTTAATCTAGTGCTCACCCCCTCGCGCCCACCCACCCCCACTTTAAAATTTCAAATGGCACCCCCCTACAAGTGACACCTCATTTTGAAGAGCATAAAATTATCTATCCAATGGTGTGAAAAAATAGTAAATCGGATGGCTATTTAAGGATCTGGAAGATAAAATGTGTGCTGTAAATCGAAAAAAGTAAAAAGGTTTGTATATTTTTATTTTTAAATTGAATACATTTTTTACTTTATAAATTGTTCGAAATGTTCGCCGTTTTTCGCTAGGCAATAGTAAAGTCGATCTTGAAATTCTTCGCGGACACGGGCTAAAGTTTAAGACGAAATACTTCTACACTCTTGTGATATCCGGTCCTTCAGTTCCTGTATACTATCAGGTGGAGTTGTATATACACCGTCTTTAAATGGCCCCACAGAAAAAAGTCTAGGGGAGTCAAATCAGGAGACCTTGCTGGCCATTCCATTACACCTCTTCTACCAATCCATTTGCCGGGATACCGCTGATTTAACCACTCTTTAACTGGTAAAGCAAAATGAGCTGGAGCTCCGTCTTGTTGGAAATGTAGCATTTCTTCATTAAGAAGCATGGCCCCATTTTCTACTGAATGTACAATAAGTGGCTCAATGTAATTATCAAGCAGATCTAGATACAACTGCCCAGTTAAATTTTCTTCAAAAAAAAGGGGGCCTATAATTTCGTTTCCCAGAATTCCCGCCCAAACGTTGACTTTGCGTGAAAATTGAGTATTACCCTCCACATATTGATGTGGATTTTCATTATTCCAATATCTACAATTATGTTTGTTAACAAACCCATTAAGGAAAAAAGTCGATTCATCAGAAAAGCAGATATTTTCTAAAAATTTAGCATTCTCATCAATTCTTTGACACATTAATTCACAAAACTCAATTCTTCTATCGCAATCATCTTCGCGAAGTTCTTGTAGAATTTGTAATTTATATGGAAAAAATCTATTCTTCTTCAAAATCTTGTGCACAGAACCAGTAGAAATATTTGTCAGTCTGGAGACTTTTGGAATCGATAAATTTGGATTCGCAGCAAAATGACCCAACACTTCAATTTGACAACCCTCATCCAGAATTCTTGGTCCAGTTCTTTTTTGGTTACATACCATTCCTGTATCTTCAAACTTACGAACCAATTCCATCACATACTTATGACCAACGTTTTTATTCGGATGACTCTGGTGGTTTGACGCGCACAGCGATTTTCAGCCCCATAAAGAAAAATTATTTCAATTCTTTCCTCTAAAGTGTATCCCATTTTAATGTCTTAATTTTAAACTTACTAGGAGCAATGTAGAAAATGAATTAATGATAAAAGGGCCAGTTTAAATGTTCTTAAGGACATTCTTTTTTTTATTTTGCACAAAAAGATACCTAAAAACAATATTGTTTTTACCTTATTATTTTATCTTATCAGCACACATTTTATCTTCCAGATCCTTAAATAGCCATCCGATTTACTATTTTTTCACACCATTGGATAGAGAATTTTATGCTCTTCAAAATGAGGTGTCACTTGTAGGGAGGTGCCATTTGAAATTTTAAAGTGGGGGTGGGTGGGCGCGAGGGGGTGAGCACTAGATTAAATTAAATAATGTGATAGAAGTTCCCCCTTCTTATATAACTCGACGTATTTTTTGGATTTTTTTTAAATTCTTTTAATTTAAAAGATATTTAAGGTGGTTCGTTTTAAAATGAAAACCCTGTATATAAATTGTTTACTGTATTAACTAAGGATGTTATGGATTGCTATAAAGCAACACAAAGTTCTGGTTATTCAATATTTAAAAAAAAACATGTATGTAAGTTTTATAAAACACTAATGGGACATGCGAAAATGTGTTTCACAAGTTTCAAAATTAAAAAAAAAATATTCTGAAATAACTAAACAAACATTTTCTGAAAGAGTTTACTAAGGGCTTGTTAGGCTTTCACTTGGTTGTTAAATCAATAAGATCCAATAATTTTTAACAAAATCAAACTTACGGACAGCGGGTGTTTTTTGAAAACCACCCATATATAATATTATATTGCCATGATTTTGAAGGTATATTTTGTTGTTTAAAATGCAGTTGTCGGCGTTTTTTAGAGAACTCAAATATAAAAATGGTTGATTTAAAGGTTATATTTGTGCAAAAATTATTTTTTACTAATTTCTTAAAAATGCCCAAACTTAAATATAAATTATATTGGGTAAAGTTATCATTCGTTAATTCTGCACCAACAAATGTACTTACCGAATTGGATCCTTTGGCAAAACATAAAAAAGCAACGATTTAGTTCTTGAATTTTATTTACAATTAAAAACACAATAATTCACATGATCCCTTATATAAAATACACACTCTAACGTAACTATATAAGCATTTAAGCGTTGAGTTTCTTAATCAATGATATAAAGAATAATCAATCGTTATGGAGTACTAAACCAGTTTTTTAGTTTTTTCCTTGCAACGTAAAACACAAATGACCTGCGCGAGTTAGCTGTGCAATTGAACAAAATTTGTCGAGTAAGACTCTCTTTTGTGAAAAAACTACCTATTTATTTAAAAATGATGTACAATTGGCGTCCCCGAAATGTGAACGGCAAAATTTAATCGTGTAATATGGGCTTTGCATCAGTGTCGTCGGTAGTTGTCAAATTTGATAATAGTTGTCAATTGCAATATTAAAAATGCCACCCCACTTAACCGAGGCTCAGAGGTCCAGGGCAATAGCCAAATTAGAAGAAAATTGGTCTTTAAGTGAAGTAGCTGCAGATTTAAATGTCAGTAAAAGCTGCATATTTTATATCAAAAAACATTGGCAAGAACAACAAAGATTAAGAAGACCTATCAGGCAAGGTGTAGGAAAAATCTCCAACGAAAATGAAGACAATGCTCTTGTCGCACATATTAGACAAAATCCTTTCAATAGCGCAGTTAAGGCCCGAGAAGATACACAATTTCCAGGATCTCTTCGAACAGCTCAAAAAAGATTGAAACAAGCTGGTTTAAAAAACTGTGCTGCTGCTCATAAGGTTTTTTTAACTGAAGAAAATAAGCGCAGGAGAGTCCAGTTCGCCAATGACTATTTAAATTATGGAGAAGATTTTTGGAATAATGTTATATTTTCGGATGAAAAAACGTTCCAATCTTGCAATAATGGAAGGCTGCGTGTATATCGTCCAAGAAACGCAAGATTTGAGGAGAACTATACATTAAAAACCTCAAATAGTGGACGCTTTTCCATAAATGTTTGGGCGTGGATAAGCATCCATGGTCCGGGAGTATGTTGGGAAATTGATGGTAGATTAACGGCTGAGCACTATACCAGGATTTTGGACAACGTTATGCTACCTTCAGTTAGACATGTGTTTCCAGAAAACTTTATATTTCAACATGTAAGAAAACTGTATAGTATTCAAAAACGATTCTAATAAATATTATATTAGAGGACAATGCACCAGTTCACACAGCTCGCGTGGTTACAGAGTGGGTAAACAACAACCACATAACTGTTTTGCCATGGCCAGCTAGAAGCCCTGACTTAAACCCCATTGAAAACGTGTGGGGTTTTATAGTTAAAAATATATATCAACGGGACTTTAGGCCAGCAAACCGAGATGAACTATGGAGTGCTGATGAAAATTCTTGGGATGAGCTTGCTGATTCATACGACATGCGTGAGCTAATAATGTCCATGCCAAGAAGGTTGCAAAGGGTTGTGGCAGCTAATGGCTCTGCAATTAAGTATTAAAATAGCTTAGCAGCACAGTTTTTTAAGCCAGCTTGTTTCAATCTTTTTTGAGCTGTTCGAAGAGATCCTGGAAATTGTGTATCTTCTCGGGCCTTAAATGCGCTATTGAAAGGATTTTGCCTAATAAGTGCGACAAGAGCATTGTCTTCATTTTCGTTGGAGATTTTACCTACACCTTGCCTGATAGGTCTTCTCAATCTTTGTTGTTTTTGCCAACGTTTTTTGATATAAAACATGCAGCTTTTACTGACATTTAAATCTGCCGCTATTTCACTTTAAAACCAATTTTCTTGAGCAATATGTTAATTTAGTTATGTTATTTTTATTGTGTATTTACCTACTTGTTAATTTATATTGTTGTATAAAACCAAATTAAAGTTAATTTATTTGTTATATTGTTTATATTATTGTTTGTTAAAATATTATTTAAAAAATAGAACGATTTAGGATATTGTTCTTATTCTTAGTATTCTCCCTTCTATATGTAACACCACTGGCCGAAGCCAGGAATGAACGAATAAATTTTATGAAAAAAATCCATGACAACAAAAAATCGTTCACATTTCGGAGGCGCCAATTGTACAGTTCGTATACTTTAAATTTATTGTTGACAATTCTTAAATTCACGCAATGCTTTTGAAGTCCACCAGATGGCGCGCGCGTTGCGAAAACCCTATACTTCTTTAGCGTATTTTCTAATGAGGCTCTTTTTGAGAGTAATAAAACAGATTTATTTAACGTCTTTATTTGTCCATGCGGCATATAATACATAAAATTACAAACATTAAAAATTTATTTGTTAAATTTCAGGTATTGTCCATGAATTGCTTTCGAGGTTAATCATCATGGCTTGCTCGATCTTGTCATTAAGCCAACTAACTATTTCCTTAAAGCTTGATATTCTAAGGTGATCACTATCACCCATCTTACCCTAAAAATACAATAAAGATAAAAACAGTTTTGCCAAATTAATAAAATAATTACCGATCTTAACTGAATAACCAGCTCACTCTGATCATTTTTGTTAACTTTAATTACATCATCCATATCCACAACCCATTCCACATCCCAGGGACCCCAAATTTTGACCTTGTTGACTTTGATGATGTGTCTTAAATAAAGAAAATTAATAACCACTATGTCTCACTATGATTTTCTTGTGTAGTTTGGCTCACTAAACTCGAAAATCACACTTAAAACTTTTTTCATAGAAGCGTTATCGAGGTATGAATTACAACTTTCTCTTGTATAGTTTTGGTATCGGCTCAGTAGTTCGATACTGGCGATTTTATTAAGTTGAAAAAGTCCTTTTTTTACAAAAATCGAATATTAAACAATAAATATTGAACATTGAAGAAATTGAAAGTTTTATTTTGTTGTAATAAGCATAGGTTTAAAAAAATTCTGGCTCCTTTGTTTTTTGTTGCTTTCGTATTCCGTTTCTCGTATGAGAGACCAAATGTAATCACCCATCATGGCTGCATCCCAGAAGCCGTAATACCGCCGCTCCATAGCCTTCATTTACTGTTGAAAACGTTCTCCGTGCTCATCACTTACTTCGCCCAGATTGTCCGGGTTATTTACGCACTCGAACTCTCTACTTCTTTTACTCATTTTACACTTTTTATTAACTGAATAAAACCATGATAAAAATAATTTGTTGAAATATCAAAAAATAGCAGTAAAATGTCACTATGCCAACACGAGAAACAAAAGAATGCACGTTTGCGGAGTCATGTCAAATTTAAATTTTGAATGTTTTCGATGAAAAAAGTACATAAAAAACTCCAAAAAAATAAATAAAAATCATCAAAAAGCTGAACTTTGGTCTTCCACTAAAAAATTCCTAACGTCGCCATTTTTCCATGAAAAAAATGAGTGTGATTTTCGTGTTTAGTGGGTCAAAATACATGGGAAAATTATTATGGGACATGGTGGGCAGAATTTTTTTTAGATTTTGTAAACTAGTGTAATCGGGCTTTTCATTATAAATAATTACTTACTCAAGGGTAACTATTATAATGAATTTTCCTATTTTATCAAGGGCAGCATGGATACAATAGGTATCGGATTGGAATTTTCCATTTGCTATTATGTCCAATAATTGTTTACCCAGTGATCCGTATAACGATATTGGCTTTAGACCCTAAAATTTGAATAAATTAGTCCAGAGGGAGATAGAAGAAGTCCAGATGATGTCCCCCAAGTGAAAATGATTTTATCCATTTCGCGTTCATAATGACTTCATTATAACACCGCTTTTGGTTCTTTAATGAGGTACTTTATTCCACCCAAAATTTTGATTTTATAGGTTAGTAAAATAAAATATTGAATACCTATAGGTTATGATATTTTTATGATTTGTTTTCTAGTACTTACGAGACTTTTCGTGCAATAAATTTTGTTTAACACCAAAGAAAATCCTTTTTTCTTCTTTAACGGCCGCTTATTGTAAATACTTATTGTAAATTAACGACGCCATAGCGAAAGAATGTGATAATGTTTGAAAGGTTAATGAACTTTCAAACTTCAAACTGAGATACCAACTATGTAAAGTAAAATTCGACCAAATTAAATATAAGGTATAAAATTAATTTGTTTTATGAAATGTTTGCAAAATAGATAAAATAGCATAAAGAACTCATGTCATAAGACCTTTTGTCGCACTTGTCCATTATAAAACTCGCTCCTTCGTCGCTCGTTTTATAAATTGTCCGCGTGCGACAAAATGACGTCTTATGACATTAGTTCTTTAATTTTTTATTTTAGGTTGTTTCACTGTTAGTTTAATTTTTAAATATATTTTATTTTTGATTCTATTGCTTTGGATGTGTTTAATTTTCTTAGTGAACTATTTTTAGTATACTTTTACTTCCTCAGATATTTGAAAACATATAGGTTAACCTAGAAAGAGTAACAGTCACGGAGGATAGGTTTTAGACTTTTAAAACATTGTAAAACATAATTAATTGCTGTTAAAAATCTGGAACCTGAGCTGTAATATCTACTTAATTATGAGAGATCAAAACACAATAAAAGTGTAGGTCAAACTCATTTAAAGGGTGGGCCATCTATAAGTTGAATTTTAAACTACGTGCTATTAATGAAGCCTTCAACTTAAGCGACATGAATTGCTGACAGAGGTTTAGTTTTAACCTTCCGATTACAAAATATGCACCGAATAAATTTGGATCAACGTTTCGAAATACTCAAAACTTACTTTGAATGTGACTGTGATCGCAGAGACGGCAAGAAAATTGCGTTTGGAAGAAATGAGGCGCCGTCAAACCAAAGTATTACAAATTTGATCAAAAAATTGCGCAGAAATGGAATGCTGGTGGACATAAAACATGTTTCGCATGCTCGTCCTAGACGTACACCTGAAGCAATCGCTGCTGTGGCCGAAAATGTACGCATGAACGCGTCAACATCAACTCGGCGCAGATGTCAACAACCCGGCCTTTCCCGTACCACTCTGAGGATGATTCTGCACAAAGACCTCGGTATGTTTGCGTACAAAGTCCAGCTTGTTCAGGAGTTAAAGCAAGTGGACCATCCACAACGATTTCGCTTTGCTGAGTGGGCTTTAAACCAGTTGAACGATGACCCTAATTTTGCAAGAAAAATCATCTTTTCGGATGAGGCGCATTTTTACCTCGGAGGTTATGTCAACAAGCAAAACTGTAGGATTTGGGCCACGGAAAATCCACACTTCGCCGTAACAAAGCCTATTCACCATTTAAAACAAAACATTCAAGCTCAAATTGCCTAAATAGAGCAGCAAACTTGACAAAGTGCTTGAAAATTGATGTTCCAGGATGGGCTACTGCCGAGCCAGCTGATGTGGCCACTTAAATAAAATCATTTACTTAATCGGAAGAAACATTGAATCAAATAAAGCAAAATTCGTTGAAAAAAATCAGTTTTTCTTGTTCTCATTGCTATTTTATAATTCAACATAAACATGGTCCACCCTTTAGTTTTATTAAATATCACGGGGTAACATCGGGGAACATTTCGTGAGATTCACTCAGATAGACTTCTTTCTGTATCAGGCTTACCAAAATATTGCTGCCATATCTTGTCAGTCTGCGTTTAATTTGAATGGGTTCTCCCAATATAGAAGCTCTCTTCACAGCTTCTACTGCCACCTCAACACTATCTGACATTCCATCTGGGTACTTTGTCAGTAAAGCAAATAAGGCCTTCCCTGTCGTCTTGAAAAACTTCTCTGGGTTAACTATGTTCGCTAAAATAACTAAATTAAATAAAGGTAATAAGCAATTATCAAATTATACTTTTTTGATTCGGAGTGAATAGTTGACTCAACGCTATGGGAACACCAGTTTCTACGTTTTTACTTGAAGCTGCCAAAAGCTTGGGAAACATTCCTGATGTAAAGTAAACTCCTTGATTGCGAGTTAAAAGAGCTTCGTCCATGTTTATATTTTCGAAAATTTCCAGAATGCTTTGCTCTAAAGCTGCGGGTGACATGTTAATATGACCTAGTAAACATCGTGTTCCATATAGGACATTCGAAATGCACTCAGTTTGTAGACGGTTATACTAAAATGTATATCTCAAAGTTATACTGTATTTACACAATTTTTTTTAAAAATTGTACAAAATAGTAATTTTTCTCTGTAAACTCTAATATAGAAAATAAACTGGCAAATTTACCTCTATAGATGGATAAAACGCAAAATAATTTATTAAAACTTGTAGACCCAGAACATGCGAATAGTACTGCTGTAGAAATAGCGTAGCTACTTGCTTAAACAAATAGTACAAACATTGACTTAAGTTTTGGTTTAATTCAATATGTTCTATCGAGGGTATTCTGAAAATAAACATTTAGAGTAACTCCTTTAAACATTCCTAGTAAAATTTACTTGTGATTTACTCCTTGGATAGGCATGTATGGGAAAACATTCATCGGGAACAAATAGTTTAAAAAGTTTGCCGCAGATATTCCACCATCAAGTACACTGGTGGTTTCATTTCCAGTGTTTAACTGGATGATGAAATCCTTTATGCTTACATTTTCAATCACTGTTTTAATACCTTCCTGCATCTGAAAAAATCATGCATAAATTAAAGTAAATTCACTGAAACCATAAACCTGATAGCACAGTTTATTCTAAGAATGTTTTTTAAACCTTCCAGTGAGAATATTCTTAGGATCATGCTATATTTCTTCTAGTCATTTTCTAAGAATGTTTGTTAAACTTTTCAGTGAGAATATTGTTGGATCATGCTATATTTCTTCTAGTCGTGTTCTAAGAATGTTTTTTAAACCTTCCAGTGAGAATATTCTTAGGATCATGCTATATTTCTTCTAAAGAACATGCTTAAAAGAAATATAGCATAATCCTAAGAATATTCTCACTGGCCTATAGGCAGGTTCTTAGAAGGTGCAAAGTTTATTGGTAAAAATTAATCCACTCTAAACATATGCTTAGAATGTTGAGAAAGTAAGTGCTATAGAAAGTTCATTTAGGAATATTCCTGGGACATTCTGTTAAGCATATTCAGATCAGTTAGGTACTATATAATAGTAAAATATACCATAATCTACGTATAAAGGTACCTATACTTAGTATTAAATACTAAGTAAAAAACACAACCCAAAATATTTTGTTATAGTTATTTGTCAAATTAAAACAATATTCGAAAACAAAAATACTTTTACTATAGGTATCTAAATTATCCGGCTTTTACATTAAATCTTCTATCCAACTTAAATACAATGAAAAATGTTTTTTTATGAAGAACTATTTGGTTTTTTCTTTTATGAAGAATTATTTTATAAGGAAATATTTTATTTTTTTATATTTTATTTTATGTTAAAAATAAATATTTATTAATTTGTATACCGATTTTTTATATCTGAATTAACATTTTTATGTATAACTATCTTCAACTTCAATCTAATCTGACTTATCCCACAAAATTTTCCAATTTTACTTTTTATGAAATAATGTCATACAACTTATGGTTTAGAGGACAAATTGTTTATTTAATATTTTTAAATAAATATATATTAATATGTCGCAAAATTTTTTAAGGGGACGACAAATACATTTCAGTCACATATTATGACAGTGTATTTGTCGCCTCCTGAAGAATTTTACGAATGTAGAATCCAACATATTAGAACGTGGGTATCTGACATATTTGGAAATATTCTCAAAAGCTTCCTAGAAGCTCCATAAGAAACCTTCTAAGAACATTCCAAAAACGTATTCTTAAAATGTTCTTAGAATGCTTTTTAGGAAGGTTTTAAGAAGCTTCTAAGAATCTAATTGCATCATTAAAAGGGTATCTATTGAATGTTTTAAAAGTCCCTAAGAACATTCTTAGCAATAAGGGAAGGTTCTAAGAATATTCCATTATTCCGGGTCATATCTTCTTAGAAGATTCTTAGAATCAAATTTTGCTATCAGGGAACTAACCATTTTTTTGTCCAAAAATGTTGAATATATGTAGGACATATCCTTAAAATACCCTTTCAACGCATTACCCTGGAACTGTTTAAACACAGATAACAGTTGAGATAAATGCGTAACCAAATCCTTTTCCACATTTAAAGCAAAATCGCCTATTTCAATGGTTATATATCTGTACGCTTGACATATATTAGTCGTGTATTTAGAGATAGCTATATCAATAAAGCTGTCGCTATCCTGTATGTTTTTGGATAACGTTGGCCGCACAACGATGATATTTTTGTGCTGATCGTCAATTTGAAGATCTTGAATTTTGAAGTTGTAATAATGATACTTATCGGACTTTCTAAAGTGGATGTACACTGCTGGACTGTAAGATCTTCTAATTTCTGCTATAAAAGGTTTGATCATGTACATCTTATCGAAGTCTACGTATACGTAGTCTTTTAATTGGCAATTTTTATGATGCATTCGATAGTTATCCTCTATCCAAGAGGCCAGTTCTAGAGTAAGGGTTTTCCACTTTTTTCCTACATTAACTTCCCAAATGGCAGGAGATTCTGATAGGGATAAAAGCACATGTTCTTTCTGCCTATTTTGGTTGGTGAAAATTGAGAAATCAACTCCTGATAGGGAGACCAAAAGATCTAGGTGGGACTTCTCTTGAAGAACATGTTTTAAAGTACTTCTGTACATGCCACAATCCTGCGTAAACAGTAACACTCTTTGCAACCCATCCCTATAACAAATCCAGTAAATTGTTCTTCTATCCTTTTTGGTCTTCCCGTTTTTGGGGGAATGCGTACTATCGGAGCTATCTGAATCGCTTTGCTCGTCTTTTTGACACCTTATCTTTTGCTCTCCAAATCTAAAATTACCTACACTGTTTAAAATATCTGTGGTGTAAAAAGTAATCCTAAAATGGTGTCAAAATCAAACACCAAGTGGTGTTAATATAAACACCATGAATTATGGTTGAAAATGTTATATACAGCAAACACCAAAACGGTGTTTATCTAAAAATATTTGAGAAGTGCACCTACACAGAAAAAAAGGAATAGTTCATTTAAATATATTAATTTAGTTGACCCATAAGTATTTATTTAAATCAACTGTGGGAAGGTTAATATAAACAAAGATTAGTTTGACGGTACTAAACCAGATAGTTATTTTATTTTTTTTAAATTGGTTAAATTAACCCAGAAAACTTTAGTGAAACCAATCCGCTGTATGGTTCAGTTTACTAAATATGTTGTTTGTAAAATAAGAGTTACTTTAACCTAAAGCACTCTGTTAAAACGATTAAAACAATTTGCCGTGCATTCCTGGTTGCATAGTGTGTACCGATCACGGCAAAGGCGGTGATGTTTTTAAATCTCGCCTCTGTTAACTTACATGAAGAGTATATAAGCTCAGGCAGTCCTTTGCTTTGGTGTGACACTACAAGTTGTTAGATACTAAAGAGACCTTAAATAGGTGGAAACAGCTGTCAATACTTGAAGTATTTTAAGTTGGTGGAACGCACTTAAAACATTATCTCTAGCGAGTTGAAGGTTCAATTTTCTGGAATAATACCACTGGTAATATACTTGTAATGCGTCAAGGAACTTCCGGTTTCCTTTTTTCTGTGTAGTTTGATTAAATTTGACCAAAAATACATAATATTTAACACTGAAAAGGAGTTCAATTTACACCAGGTAAAATTTATTTTAATACTGTGTGAAAGTTAAATTTACACCATTTTAGTATTTGAATTCACACTGGACCAACGAACCATATTTAACACCATTTTGGTTTGTATCGATATAGACCAGGTATGGTGTTAATTTGGTGTTAAAATGGTCATGAAATTTTGAACAGTGTACAGTCTGAACTTTGCGTTTGAAGAATTTTGACTTACCCATCCTTGGTTATGTCAATGTAAAATCCTTGACCTTTGCTTCCGTAAACATTCCAAACCAGCTTTCTGGATGTGGTGGGATCATCCCAAGTGTACATAAAACTATAGTTGGGGTTCAGAAGAGTTGCTTCAGTGTGACCTTGTTGTGAAATTTTCAAGTGTTTATTTTCGCAACAATTTCTCACCACAATAGGGGCATCTCCAAGTTTATATGATTGGAACGATATAGTGAATGGCTCGTTTACCCCGCCTATAACCTCCACAGTCAACGCCCCCTTAAACAGAAATATTTATTACATAGCAAACGAAAAAATATAGAAGTGTATAGGATGACTGAAGTTTTATCAGAACTGTATATTTTTCGCCTCTACTATACCTATGCAGGACTATAGTTTAAAGTCAAACTCAATGATACATTATTTTGATTTTCCATATTCAACAGAGAGGTAGAAACTCGACCCTGTCGAATGGTGCAGTCATTTATGTCTCTAGAAATTAATTAAAAAAGGGGCAGTCCAATGGTGCAGCAACTTCGGATTCCTATTCTCTTCAGAGACATAGAAACTTAAGCTTTTCGAATAGAGAATAGAGAATTAAAAAATTAAGTATAATTTAAATATTTTACTTTCTATAATATACTATAAATTTTTAATATTTGGATTACATGAATTGTGAAATAGTCAATAAAATTGATTGATTTTAAACGTGGAATACCCAGCAACATTTAAATTATTTGAATTTGAAACGACCGCAATTTAAACTAATATATATAGCTAGATGATTGGCTAAGAAGCATGCCTGAACTAATTTAGACTCACGATTGGCGTTAGCCTTGTTGTCTCGTTCTATTACAATGCGATATCATAGTTGTCTCCTTCTCTCGTATTAGCATACGCGAGGCAGGCACGCCTACAGCCAAGGAAATAAGCAGGTGTTGTGGCAACACTGTTGCGGAATTTTAGATAAATTTTACTTCACACGTTTTTTAAAATTCAATAATAAATGGTATTATTTTTCTTATAATAAATCGATTTAATCGAAATTATATTTCTATTCTAAAATAAACATATTTTAACACTATCGCCATCCTGTAGCCATCACAGTAACCAATAAAATAAATACAGATTCCTTCTTTAGGTTTGTTTTGGTTATAAAATTCTGAACTGTTTAAATAGTATATTAAAGTACAAGTTGCAGAAGGCCACATATTCTCGCACGAATTCGAAATTTGGCCTCGAGCGACGAAGGAGCGAGTGGACGAACGAATGAGTGCGAGAATAGCCTTCTGCAACGTGTGATTTATACTATTTTCTCGATTTTAACTTTTATTTAGGTTTTTTTAAATGTTTTGTGGTCGTTGTTAGTTGGGGGATTTTTCTTGCAAAATGTCAGTTGGCAACACAAAATGACAGTTGCATGGACAGGTACATTTATTTTTATTTACTATTTATTAATAATCTGTCTGTATTTGTCAACTGGATAATAAGGTTTTGTGTAAGTATTGTATTATTTTTTAATGTTTTCTGATATTTTTGAACAATTGTGTTTACTTTTAGCAGTGAAAAATGTCACAGGAGATTTTACAAGCAACACTGAACATTACAATAAAAGTTTATAACAATTGTGCTAGTGATTAATTTATAGTAGTTTTGTGTTTTGTGTACTGTGGGTATATAATATTTCCAATAAAATATAGTTTGATTGACCTGTCTGGCTCATTTATTTGTCAATATTTGTTATCCTGCACAAGTACAACTGAACTGCACTTTTTCACATTAAACTTAAAATTTTGCATTAAAATGCAATGTTGGAGCAAACTTAATATAACAAAACAATAATAAAGGCTTCATTTTCAATAAAAGTGTAGTTCAGGTTGCACTAGTGCAGGATAACAAACAAAGCTATTATAAATAATCCTAAAAGTAATGAATTTGAGGTTATTAAACAGTTTGACATTTTGGGGGTACCAATACTTAAAAACTAAATGTTACCAAAAATCGTTTAAGAATGAGCTTCATTCTTCAACGATTTTGCGTGCGAGAATATGACATTCTTACATAAAAATCGAGAAAAACAAATCTGTGGTTATTTACGCAATATTTTGTTTATTCTTTTTCTATGAGTTTGTCTATTTTATGATTCTTTTGTAAGTGGTTTATTCTGTGGGTTTAGTTAATTGAACATGGTGATTTATGTGAATTTAGTCATTATGGATATTACGGTGAGAAATTGTACCGATATTGTTGACCTTCACGTTGTTCTTGCTGAACAATGAAATAGATAAATAAGACAAAAATGAGGTTTATTTAAAATAAACGTCATTTTTACAATAAAATATATTTCATTGACAAAGTAGAGGATTCCTTCCCCACCACAGTCTAAGTTTTTTACTTAGTTTTAAGTATAGGTTGTGAACTGCGACGTCAGTTTTTTTAAGTTGGGTTTAAAAAAATTTCATCGCCTTTAAATGAGGGCAAAACTGTATTCAAACGTGGCGTCATCCAATACACTTCTATATTTTTTCCATTGCTGTGTAATAAGTTTTGATGTGTTGGTTTCGTACATTTTTATCCATCTTTAAAACAGTCTTGTGATGCGTTGTTATGAAGAATGGCGGCGATATAACCTTGTGGTCTCTAAACTTGACATACATTTGCATCGAGTTAGTCTCTGGCCAGAATATCATTTTTTGACTTGGTTCCAAGTCATTCCATAAGTCGGTTTTTTCATTGTGTTCCATGAACCTTCAAGAATAAAATTTTTAGTGAAAAAGAAAACGATATTTTACATTTATTGGGGTTTATGTGGACTTTTTTATTTCAAAACGTATAGTATAGAAATTTGGACAAAATGTAGGTCTTACTAATGACAATTAATCCATGAAATTTTTTTTAGATTTCAACAAGGGCGCTGGTGATAATTTAGTTTAAAATTTAACAATTTTTAAAGGGTAAATAATCGAAGAAGCAACTTTGTTTTATAAATTTGAGTATATCACGTTAAAGTATTGATATTTGACTATTATTTGATACATTAACTTTTTTATGCAAATGATGTTTCTGTGGCCAGGATCAGTTTTGAATTAGCAGTAGCAGTATTCATAAATGTTTAGTTTAGTACATTTTGTCGTTTTTATACAAAAATTGTTGTATCTTTTATTAATAATTAAGTATAGCATAACACATAAATAACGTTTAATATACAGGGTGTTTCACGTACGTAGTCCGTTAAAAGTTTCTAGGGAATCGCGAAAACATCTATTTAAAATTTTAATAGCGTAAATTATTCGATTTAGACTTTTTTCCTAAATTATTTTGAACAAAATAATACTTCCTGTTTTACTGGAAATGTTTTTAACTTTGTTATTTTAAACAGGACACCTTATATATTTTTACATTTTTTAATTCTACATAAAATTCTGAGTAAAATGGCTATACCATATTCTATACCTAAAGTCAATATTTTTTGAGTTATTAATTTTTCAATCAAATATTTCAACAATGACAGATTGCTGGTAACCATCGATACTGTCACATTAAACCACAGGTTTTGTGATATAAAATAGTATTGAAAATATTAGGCTGTTAAATGTCTCTGAAATTTTAATTTTACGAAATCGAAAGATTCTTTAATGTTCTATTTGATTATGTTAAAATATACAGGGTTTTACATTTATAATAAAAACGATATTATTGTTTAAAGTTTATCTAATTTCAAGTGATTTTTCTCAAGGTGTTTGTTGAAAAATCTTTAAAAAATTGAACTATTTAAACAATGTTTTAATATTCCAAAAATTCCAACGTGATTAACGTGCATTTAGCAAAATTTTAACGAAAAAAATTAATATCTTGAAAACTATTGACTTTAGGTATAGTCTAAATCAAATTGTATATGCTATTAAAATTCCAAATCTATATCGTTTGACAGAAACACCCTGTATAGCATTATATTAAATATAAAAAAATAACTAATTACAAAAAATCGAAAAACAACTGAATAAAAAATATAGATATATCTAAATAGCCGATTGCAACATAAAAAATAAAGTTTTTATTCTAATTTATTTATTGGGTAAATATTACTTTCCTCAGTTTGGAATTAAAAGTGAAGCTTGCTTATCGAGTAAAAAATAAATTGAAGCTTGGTTGTGGAGCAAAAAATAAAATTAAAGTAGGTTATAATTTCTAACTTGCTGACACTGTCTATAATTATTATTTAGTTTATTCATTTTTATAAATTAATGTTTTGAGTTTACAGTACACTTATAAATTAAAACGCAATCAGTCATTTGCAACTTATAAACTGAACTGTCAAATTACCTTTCATGCTTCCAATGGTAGGTTACCATAGAGAAAAGTCTTTAAATAAAAATTTTATTACAAAATATCGAAATTTTTCTATTTTTAACACAGTAGAGTGACTTAAGGCCTGAAAACCACAGCGGTCAATGGATGAAATTTTTTTTATGTACCATTTAGATATAGAAACAAGGTTAAAAAAATAGATTCAATTCTGGCATCACTTGCAAACAAATTGTTCGATTTTTACGCGAAACCATAATTAAATACTAATCCTTTTATAAAAAATAAAAAAAAATATTTACCTTAGATGTTTTTCGGTGTGGTTGACAATAATAAAACTTGGCATCAAAGTCACAATTTTGGTTAATTGGGGACAAATGTTAGAAATACTGCATTTGGTGAACACCATATACTTTTTTCTTCGCGTGTGGTCTTTACAAACCACCAATCCAGTAGTACCGGCGCATTCCATACCAAAATCGTTGGACCAGTTCGAATTGTGGACGCGCATGTTTATGGATGGTTTTCCATGTCTTTTGTAAGTGAAAAGTAAAATACTTTCTTTATCGCAGTTGATTATCGCGTCTGTGCCTGAAGCCTACAAAATATTGTTCATTAGACCTTAGAAAATAGATTTGTGAAGAATGCACCTTTAATTGCACAGGAAGCTGTGTTTTATTGACGATCCAGTAGGGGGTGTAAAAAAAGATATTGCAGCTTCCCTCTCTATCAATTTTAATGTTTATTGGAAGGATTAAATTTGGTTTTAAAGATTCGTCGGTAAAAACAAGTATTTTATCATCTAACTGCGTGTTCAAATTCAAGATAGCCCTACAAGTAACTCCATTGTACTCCAATTGAGCAGGCAATTTTTGGTCCTTCGATACATCCATTGAGTAAACCCTTACTTTCTCACCGGGTTCCATGCTAATAACCGTTTTGTTTTTTATTTCCAATCTGTACGGTAACATGTTGTTAATGATTACAGGTGGCATTAATTGAATGGTGTAGTTTGGTACGGAATAGGCTTTTGATACCTTTAGGTCCAAGTTACGCCTCATTACCACCTTTAGGCAGAAAAGATCAGTTTCCGTGTTTGTTTTTGGATTGCATTGGAGGTTTATCGGAGTGTCTATTTGTGTTGCCAAGTCTTCCCACCAGATTCCAGTTTCGGATGCGTAATGGCCCCTAGAAATAGGATTCTCATTAAAGAACCAAAATTTTTAATATTCCAAAATTTAACTATTAATTGGACATTTTATATGCCCTGATAGCACACTTTATTCTAAGAATGTTTTTTTAAACTTCCAGTGGGAATATTCTTAGGATCATGCTATATTTCTTCTAAAGAACATGCTTAAAAGACATATAACATGATCCTAAGAATATTCTTACTGGCCTATAGGCAGGTTCTTAGAAGGTGCAAAGTTTTAGTAGTAAAAATTAGTCTACTCTAAACATATGCTTAGAATGTTAAGAAAGTAATTGCTATAGAAAGTTCATTTAGGAATATTCCTGTTAAGCATATTTAGTTCAGTTACCTACCTATATAATAGTAAAATATACCATAAACTACGTATAAAGGTATATACCTATACTTAAGTACCTAATTAGTAATTAGTTTTAAATACTAAGTAAAAAACATAATCCAAAATATTTTTTTATAGTTAATTGTCAAATTAAAACAATATTCGATAACAAAAATACTTTTACTATAGGTATTTTATTTTATGTTAAAAATAAATATTTATTAATTTGTATACCGATTTTTTATTTCTGAATTAACATTTTTATGTATAATAAGTTATTATTAATAACACAGTACGACAAAATTTGATTTTTGGTCCCTCCCATGAAAAATTTCTACAGATTCTAAAAATAGAGTTAAAAAAAAAAAAAAAAAGTAGTAAAAATTAGTCTACTCTAAACATATGCTTAGAATGTTAAGAAAGTAATTGCTATAGAAAGTTCATTTAGGAATATTCCTGTTAAGCATATTTAGTTCAGTTACCTACCTATATAATAGTAAAATATACCATAAACTACGTATAAAGGTATATACCTATACTTAAGTACCTAATTAGTAATTAGTTTTAAATACTAAGTAAAAAACATAATCCAAAATATTTTTTTATAGTTAATTGTCAAATTAAAACAATATTCGATAACAAAAATACTTTTACTATAGGTATTTTATTTTATGTTAAAAATAAATATTTATTAATTTGTATACCGATTTTTTATTTCTGAATTAACATTTTTATGTATAATAAGTTATTATTAATAACACAGTACGACAAAATTTGATTTTTGGTCCCTCCCATGAAAAATTTCTACAGATTCTAAAAATAGAGTTAAAAAAATGATACCCGTGTCTCGGCGTTTTTTCACATCACGTCATAATTTTTTTTAAGGGCCATCCAATAAAATGTTATTCACACTATTTGCGACATAATTTAATAGACTCGATAACAGCTGGACTGCATAGTTAAAAAAATATATATTTACTAAATGGATAGGCAACCATTATAGATGCATTTTAAAATTATTTTAATCTTATACAGAGTTTTGCACATTTATATATATATATATATATATCAAACGGTTTATTTTTAAACCAAGTAACAAAATGTTTCAATTTTAAGCCAATCAAAATGCTTTAAAGTCGGGTAATTAAAATTTTTATTTATTCAATTTTTTGTAAAAATTGAGCTTTGTTGAATTAACATTTTTAAAAAAAATTAAAAGATATTTAAATGAATTGATTTAAGTCTTAAAGCAAATGTACCTAAAACATATTTAATTTAAGTAAAAAAAGTATTTAAGTATACGAAGTCAATTGAAACAGCAAAAAAACAAAAAATTTACACATCTGCGGCATTTATACATAAAAAGCATTGTTTTCAAAACAATCTTTATACGAGGGTAATACTTTTTTTTAAATGTTAAATAAAAACATTATTGCAGCGATAAATCGATAAATTTTTCATATTAATTTTGATTGTTGAGTTAACCATCCATTTGAAATCAAAGTAAAAATGCAGTGTCCGAATCGAAATAATTTTTGTTATGTATGTGCACCTCCAAGCCATATGCGAAATATTACAAAAAGTGTAGTAACAGCTTTTGAAGACTATTTTTTGGTGACGTATATACCAAACTTATGGTATGTACCAGAGGTTTTATGCGATTATTGTTACCGCGGATTCTACGGATTCTACATCGGCGTAATCAATTTTCTCTCTAGTATTGTACCGAAATCCAAAACTTTTTAATTTTGACATGCAGAAATAACACTGGTCAGATGCGTGTTCGGTACGTCGCGACGGGTCGAAGCCAAATTGTTGGTACAACATATTTCATACTGTGTGTTTTATCTTGCAATCCATGCAAACAACGCGTTGTTTGCATGGATTGCAAGATAAAACACACAGTATGAAATATGTTGTACCAACAATTTGGCTTCGACCCGTCGCGACGTACCGAACACGCATCTGACCAGTGTTATTTCTGCATGTCAAAATTAAAAAGTTTTGGATTTCGGTACAATACTAGAGAGAAAATTGATTACGCCGATGTAGAATCCGTCATTCTCGCAAGAGTGCGATCTGAAGATTATCCAACTGCTCCTTCAGAAAACATATGTGAGGATAAAAGTAAAAGATCTTTAACACCCAGTACAACCATTTTTTCCGAGATGGAATCTGAATTTATTCCCTGTAGTTCGGGTTATAAAGTACATTTTATAACACAGGACATGAAAGTACATATGTCACTGAAAATACATTTTCTCCTTGCTCATTTGGACTATTTTCCACCAAATTTGGGCGATTTTAGTGACGAACATGGCGAACGTTTTCACCAAGACATTTTAACAATTGAAAAACGCTTCAAGGGAAAAGACGTCAGGCATTTGCTGGGTGAATATTGCTGGTCAATTGTTCGAGATTCTGAAGCAATATACAGCCTGTTCAGAATAAAACCGAATATATCTATATATATATATATATATATATATATATATGGGGCGTGGCCTCGCCTCCCTCCAAGGCGCGTCACAGTTGCTTGTGTGATAAACGACATGACGAAAGGTCGCGCAGGTAAGGACTTAAAAAATTAAATGATAATAATGCAAAAAATCTCATTAGCGATGCAGTCTATTTGCTTAGCTACTGTGTCGCGCGTTGGAGGGAGGCGAGGCCACGCCCCATATATATATATATAGATATATTCGGTTTTAGTCTGAACGAGCTGTATAATCGTCAAACTAAACGACCAAGATTTTATTCCAACATGTATTGAATATAAGATAAATACAAAAATGTGTTTCATAAAAAAAAAATTAAAAAAATTATTTAAAAAAAATCAAAATATAAACTTTTTTTATATTTGTTTTTTGTATTGTGTAAAAACATACAATATTTACAAAAAAATATATTTTTAACCGACTATTTCCCTCGTCTTAATTTCCACCAATCACAAACGCGCAATTTTGAATTACAAATGGTTTCTAGGTGAAAAAACTGTGTGACAGTACCTGTCAGCAGTTTATTCGAGTTTACCCGCGGCAAAACTTGACAGCTGTTGTCACCAAAAATTGCAATTTATATTTTAATTGTTAACTGTTACTCATGAAATAGTCTTGTCAAATACCATTCGGGCATCTAATTTTTCCTGTGAAAAAAATCGAAAAAACACAATGCTAAGTAATATTTTTTAACAAAATGCATTCGTGCAGGTGCAAAAATCCTCCTCTTCGACTCGGATTTTTGTTGCCACCAGCACTCATGCTTTTTGTTAAAATATTACTTAGCAACGTGTTTTTTCGATTCTTTTCGGAAAAATTAAATGCCCTTATGATATTACTTACGAGTAAAAAATGTACAATCTGTATAAGCATAAATAATAGGAATGACGGCTTAAAATTTTTTTATGACGTGATCTCGTGAAACTGTGAGACACGGGTACGTTTTTTTTACCTCTATTTTCAAAATCTGCTAAAATTTTTCATGGGAGGGAAATTGTGTTGTACTGTGTAATATTAACTATCGTCAACTTCAATCTAATCTGACTTATCCCACAAAATTTTCCAATTATACTTTTTATGAAATAATGTCATACAACTTATGGTTTAGAGGTCAAATTGTTTATTTAACATTTTTAAATAAATATATATTAATATGTCGCAAATTTTTTTAAGGGGACGACAAATACATTTCACTGTCATATTATGACAGTGAGGCGTATTTGTCGTCTCCTGAAGAATTTTACGAATGTAGAATGCAACATATTAGAACGTGGGTATCTGACATATTTGGAAATATTGTCAAAAGCTTCCTAGAAGCTCCATAAGAAACCTCCTAAGAACCTTCCAAAAACGTATTATTAAAATGTTCTTAGGATGCTTTTTAGGAAGGTTTTAAGAAGCTTTTAAGAATCTAATTGCATCATTAAAATGTTTTAAAAGTCCCTAAGAACATTCTTAGCAATAAGGGAAGGTTCTAAGAATATTCCATTATTCCGGGTCATATCTTCTTAGAAGATTCTTAAAATCAAATTTTGCTATCAGGGTAGTAATGGGACACATGGACCATAGTTATTGGACATTCAATTTTTTTTTAAACATAACAACTTTACATCAAATAACATAAATTGTTAAATATTTTTTAAAGATAAATTGCTGTTTTGGGTAATTTTTTTTATTTCGTTTTTGTATATATATATCATATAATTCATATATTTCTTTCTCGGATTCCTCATCCCTTTTCTGGATTCTGAAGGTAAGTACTAATTCCTTGGTCTGACTTTTGAAATAACTAGTTTGTTGCAAATATCATTAAGTGTGGTATCTCTAGTTTGTAAAGCATTTATAATGTTTAGGCCGGAACAGGACCATTTATATATATCTAATATTTTTCGGGTGATATGTTAAAAGTATTTTCCGAATTTATTAGTTTTTTATGTTCTCTATCATGCACTGTATTTAAATTACTGTTATTCTGCAAGATGTCCTGTGACGAAGAAATCACTATAAAAATTAATTAGTCAAAAATGTCATGGCGAAAAATCAGCCACTAATAATTCTCGTCAACATCTATTTGTATCCAGGACATTTAGCAGTCAATTCCTATGAAATATTATTCGCTGAATCCGTCAAAAGTTATAAAAGTAAAACAGTTTTTGAAATATTATCAATTTTACATATAATATGGAATTGACTATATCTCAAAAAATGCTTAACTTTTATAGTTTTTGACGGTCTTTTCGGATTCAGGGGACAATTTTACTTAAGTATGGCTGGTAAATGTCCGGGATACAAATAGAGTATGATTACATTTTTTACCAACCAGTAATTGGACACTGGCCATTTTACTGTTTGTTTTCAGAATTAAAATTAAAACGCATAATGTTTAAACCATGAGGAACACAGTTATACCACAGACTGATCTGTACACTTTTTAGAAATTTTTTTTATTGTAATTTAATCTAATGATTATAGAACTCTTGTTTTTATAGTATTAATCTTAATTGTCCAATAACTATAAAGTGTCCGATAACTGTCTACTTTACGCTATTTAGTATTTGTTTAGTACTAACTAATTTAATTTACTATTCTATACATTTTGATGTAGTACTTACTGTGAGTGAGCTGGTTGAATAAAAAGTTTACAATGATACGCAATATATAAGGGAACATTAAATTCTTCATATGCCTCCAAAATGGTGATACGCATTAGTGTATCAAACGGATTTATTATATTGCCAACGGGTTCAAGATTTAACTGTTGCAACACCGAAGGTTGGTAGAGAATGTTCAGGGAATGCGGAGTTTCATTTTTTAACTAAAAAAAAATAATTAAGGGGTTACATACAGTTAGAATTTTCAAAACATCGAATGTTTTTTTATTTTTTTTTCTTAATGTACATATATTTAAGAATACACACAGAAAATTTCATATCGTTCCTGTGAATATTTTTAAAGTTACACGCAAATTTGAAAAGGCGTTTCAGAGTGCTTGGAAGTACAATGCCGGAGAGGCAGCGACTACCCTTTTATGCACCTGCCTTGTAAATGCTCCCTTCTAATGTATTTAGATGTGTAAATCAACAGTGTGAACAGGGTGTATTATATGGGCCTGGAATAAACGACTCCATGTAAGTTAAAAAATAAAAAATTTTATCCCATGTAAACTGCATTCCAAACTTTAAACGCGTTTTTCTCTGAATGGTGTTTTCAAAGTCGGTGACCAACATTACTCGAAAACGGCTAAACCGATTAATCTCAAATTTTAACACGAGCTTCTTAAATATATTTTTTAGTAATTAATCGAAGATTTTTTCTCTCCGATAAATATTTTTGTTTTTATAAACAATTTAAGGCCGAAATTTCGGTGAAAAATCGATTTTTTTTTTTGAGAAACCGCCATTTTGTCAAAAAAAATATTTTGCTTATTCCTTCGATTAATTACTAGATTAAACATTACTTTAACGAAATCTGTTTGGTTTTTTAAATTCAGATGATCCAGTTCAGAGATATAGTGGTCACCGCAAAACGTCTTTTTTGAGAGGAGCATCCGGAGATCAGCTGTAGCTCTTTTCCAAATAAATATTTTTACTAGTACTAAGTCTTAAAATATAGTTAAAAGATACCATAATATGTGTATAAATTTTTGGATCAATAAATTTAAAAGTTTTCTCAGAAAAAATTCTGAAAAATTCACTTTTTTTCGGCCTTCTAACTGTATATAACTGGAGATTTGAATTTTTAATTGTTTTTTTAATTTTCTGATTTGTTTTGACGTTTCAGAGTATACTTCGATTTGACCAAACAAGCACTCAAATCAAAGGTAATTGAGCCCTCTACAACTTTCTCTTGTATAGTTTTGGTATCGGCTCAGTAGTTCGATACTGGCGATTTTATCAAGTTGAAAAAGTCCTTTTTTTACAAAAATCGAAGTCGAAAATTTACATATCTTTCTGGGAAAGATAGAAATCGAAAAGATAAGTCCAGTTTGATTTATTTTACGTATAGATTATTATTATTAAAGGAACAAAATAAGCTGCTGTTGATAAAAATGCATGGATAAATGGCGAATTTATAATTTTTTCAGTGGAAGAGCAAAATTCAGTATTTCGAGAATGTTTACGTTTTTTCTTCATTTTGTTGAATTATATAAAATTTAATATTAAACATTGATTTTTATTTTAAACATTAAATATTGAAATTAAATTATATATTGAATATTGAACAATAAATATTGAACATTGAAGATATTGTAAGTTTTATTTTGTTGTAATAAGCAGCATTGGTTTAAAACAATTCTGGCTCCTTCTTTGTTTTTTGTTGCTTTCGTATTCTGTTTCTCGTATGAGGGACCAAATGTAATCACCCATCATGGCTGCATCCCAGAAGCCGTGATACCGCCGCTCCATAGCCTTCATTTGCCGGTGAAAACGTTCTCCGTGCTCATCACTTACGTCGCCCAGATTGTGCGGGTTATTTACGCACTCGAACTCTCTACTTCTTTTACTCATTTTACACTTTTTATTAACTAAATAAAACCATGATAAAAATACCTTGGTGAAATATCAAAAAATAGCAGTAAAATGTCACTATGCCAACACGAGAAACAAAATAATTCGCGTTTGCGGAGTCAAATTTAAATTTTGAATAATGTTTTCGGTGAAAAAAGTACGTAAAAAACTCAAAAAATTCCAATCATTCACGTTACTTAGGTTTTCATTAAAAAATAAACATATTACAAAATAAAAGAAAAAATAAAATAAAAATCGTCAAAAAGCTGAATTTTGGTCTTCTACTAAAAAATTCATTTTCGCCATTTGTCCATGTATTTTTATCAACATTAGCTTGTTTTTTATGTAAAAATGTCAGCTTTACGAAAAAAAACTTAAACTGGAGTTATCTGTTTGATTCAAAGATTTTTTTTTTGATTTTGTAAACTAGTGTTATAGTAAGTTACCTTAAGTGGGGAGCTGATAATAACATGTCTCCCAGACTTGCTGATGGTATGCTGGGCTGCCAAATAATATGGTTGGTTTGCACCGACACCGTTAAGTTTGATAAGTTTTTCCCAGTTTCTTCTGTAGCACGGTGTTTCCATTGGTGGGAAATTAGGAACGTAGATTCGTAAGAAGTACTTATTGATTTTAGTGAAAAGATCCCCTGACGATTCCGTTGGAAAGTTTAAACTAGATAAATATTCTTCGTTAAAATTAAAGTCCAAGTCTTCCCTTTCGTCCCAACTAAAAAAAATTACGTTAATTTTAGGATATGATTCTGAAAACTCATCTTACTTCTTTGTAGCAATGGGATTGTCTAGTTCTGCATAAGCTTCTCTTACTGGACTATTAGATGCTGACTCCTCCTTTTCGTAAGTCTTGGAACACACCAAAAAAACTTCGTCAAACTTTTTTTTGAACAGGTCGATTTTGGCTTGCGGAGCAATCTCATTGGTTAACCTTATGAACGATCTATTTTCAAGTACAGACAAAATTTTCGTGGAATACGCGGTGAAAATTTCATGAAAAACTTTTATTAGATCGGGAGTTATGGTAAAGGTAAGTTTATTTTTTGCGTCGATGGTAATATATGTCGATTTTGATTGATTTTTATCGTACTTAAATGCGTTGTTAAATTTTACTTCTTTTAAACTTTCATTTTCTTCTTCCTCGCCTTCGCTTGATTGAACGCAGTCGCTATCTTCGTTTTCGTTCCAATCTCCTATTTAATAAAAAATTAGTATACATATATATATATATATATATATATATATATATATATATATCCCTGTATATAAACCATAAATAAAAACATATGTTTTACATTTAAATTACCTGTGAAAAGATCTGATATGGCTGACGCCAGCTTTTCCATGGATTGATCCTCATTTTCCGAATCCGAATCTTCCAGAAACGTGGATAAATTTGTTTTTATTCTTGACTTGCTTTCGCCCTGAGAATTAACCGGTTCCATGTACATCATGCATTCATCCGCTGAATCCTCGTCTTCTGTAGTGCAACGACTTGTACGATGGTCTGTATCATTTGGTTTTACATAATTTTCTTCCGTGTACAGCATCGCATGCGCTTTGTCTTGCATTATTTTGATCGAAGCTTCCCATGGTTTGTATTCGGTCTCATCCAAAACAACAGGATCTACGAAAGGCTCCCAAGCTTGAAGGGCTTCGTTAAAGTAGTTGGCTTGCAAGGAAAACAGACAGTTGAAGTTTAATTTTGATGTCCAATCATTGCAGTTTATTTCTATGGTCGATTTGAATAACAGCACTGGAATCTGATCCAACTCGAATACTACAACAGCTTCGGTAGAGGTCAAGAAGAAAAACTCTGGCAACGCTAGGCGGTTGACAGTTTTTTCTTCCCAAAAATCTTCGATCTTGTTTAGAAGTTGTGTTATTTTCTTGGGCTCCCATAGACATTCACCTTCAACTGTGGAAGTAATCTCTGAAGGTTCTTTGTCTCGAGCCTTAAAGTGATCTATTATATCATTGAATATGTCACTTAGTGAGTGGACCACATTACTGCACAAATGTACGTGAACTGGTGATAAATTCATCGATATTTTCTGTCCGCTTTGCTCGTTATACTCGTTAATGTACTCCAAATCGAAATGCTTCACAATGAGATAGGGATCGAAGGAATATACTCCTGTGTTATAGAAAACAGAATGTGTGCCTCCAAGATTAACAGAGAAATTTTCTCTACCACCTCTGTTTTCATAGTCCATTAGCACGTTTGTTTTGGTTTTGAAGTAACGACGTTTGTTCGAGGTACTTTCCACATAAAATATCAATTCTGGTTTCTTAACTCTTAAAAGTACTGAAGTGCTACCCATCAATTCTTTGCTTGATACATAGGAGAAATCGGCTTCATAACCGTGATTTACAATACCAAAATCAATTAAATCTCTAGGCAGGCAATCTAATACAAATGAAGCGACTTTGTCGCAAAAAGGAACAGACAGGCTCAAAGTCAACTCGCTAAAAGTAATTTCGAAATTTTTATTTTTTTTCTCAGACTGGCGATACGTCATGTTTACTATTGGTGGTTGTGGGTCTTCCACTATTAATATTGATCGTGCCATGGTTGATTGAAGAATCCTACAAATTTAAAAGTGTTGATGATCTGGAAACCAAAGTACCTACAGTTCATTTTTTTATTTGGACTGTGTTTGTTTATTAAGTTATAGTAATTGGACAATTAAAATTAATACTGTAAAAACAAGAGTTTTTTAACTATCTTTATACGGTAATAATATAGAACTACTTTATTTTGGGTCCAATATAGAACAAAAAGTTCGCACGTTACTTTGGTGGTAGGATTTTTGTTTTTTTTGTTAAGAGCAGGGCAGTGTTTAAATTACAACAAAAAATATTTCTAAAAAGTGCACAGATCAGTGTGTGGTATAAACGTGTTCCTCATGGTTTAAACATTGTCACTTTAATGCGTTTTAATTTTAATTCTGAAAACAAACAGTAAAATGGCCAGTGTCCAATAATTATTACTGGTTGGCAAAAAATGTAAATTTCTATTATTGGACATATGTCCAATATCATAGTCTATTTGTATCCCGGGCATTTACAAGCCAATTCTTATGTAAAATTTTCTCCTGAATCCGAAAAGACCGCATTTTTGAGATATAGTCAATTCCATATTATATGTAAAATTGATTATATTTCAAAAACTGTCCTACTTTTATAACTTTTGACGACATTTTCGTATTCAGCGTATAATATTTCATAGGAATTGACTGCTAAATGTCCTGGATATAAATTGCTGTTGACGAGAATTATTACTGGCTCCTTTTTCGCTAAGACATTTTTGACTAATTCATTTTTAGAGAGTAAGTAATTTAGTAATTTCTTTATCACAGGACATCTTGCAGAATAACAGTGATTTAAATACTGTGCATGATAGAGAACATAAAAAACTAATGGCAACAAAATTAATAAATTCGGAAAATACTTTTAACATACCACCCGAAAAAATATTAGATATATAAGTCATCATGTTCCGGCCTAAACATTATAAATGCTTCACAAACTATAGATACCACACTTAATGATATTTGCAACAATCTATTTCAGAAGTCAGACCAAGGAATTAGTAGTTACGTTCAGAGTCCAGAAAAGGGATGAGGAATACGAGAAAGAAATATATGAATTATATGATATCAACCAAACTCTAAATTTGCAACGTTGCCGCAGTCCAGATAAAAAAAATGAATTTATCTATACTAATAATCTTACATTTTGTCATATATATTGGTATTACGTCCAATTTCTTCTATAAAGAGTTGATTAATGGACATTTGTCCAACACAACTTTTATCTGTATAAAATATTGTGGATATATCAACATGGTTTATGTTTAGTTTGCAAAACCCATGGTTCAAATCTCTTATGGGTGAACTCAGAAGTTCCAGCGAATCGAAAAACAATGCTACATCAATATTCTCCATCACGAATTTTACGATAATATTTGGTTCTTTAGGGGGATCACAGAGAAAGGCTTCTAAGTTTTCAACTGTTAAATCTGGATTCTCTTTGGTTGGTGATTCCACCGTCATATCAGTGGGTGTTAAAGTTTCATGAAGTTGACCTTCGCCAATGTTATCCGTAAATATGGAACGTATTGTGGATATATCCTTTTGTCCCAAAGTTATGTTGATGTTTTCTAAAATGCTGGATATCTCCCAATGCTTCTTCAAACTTTTTACATCCATGTGACGTTTTATATCGGCGTTAAATCCTAATGGTTCTATTAAGGTTTCCTTCAAAATAAATTTCGATGTATTCTATGTATGTATATTTTGTACACACACCTACTTACCTGCATTTGAATGATGTTAGTCAAAGTATTAACACCTCTAGATAGACTTATTTCTTTGAACATCAACATTATATTTTCAACAATACTATTCGTATTTTCAATGAAAAAGTTTTCAGCGTGAAATACACCTAAAATATTCCTATCAGTCTTGAAAATAAACTACAAGGTGTGGCGTGTTTTTTACCTGTATTTATAATAAGAACGTTAGGAGACGAAGATTTCTGTGGAATTATCAAAACTGGGCCGCATACGCTTATGGATAAGTTCATTTTTGTTGACGAAGTTAATGTTTCCTTTGCTTTAGTTATTGCTTGTTCTATGTATGAATACAACTTTTTGGCGTATGGTAGCACCTCTGTGTTTATTATAAACCTCTGGAAAAATAAGTCATTTTTAAAATATTTTAAAGTAACCCTTCTGGAATTTTAAACTTTTGTTTGCACACGGTGGTCAAAACTAAAGTATAGGACGAACAAAAATGCCAACCAAAACTGATAGCATAATCTGATTATAGACTCTTTTGATAACACAAAAATGTATTTATCAAAATCCCAGCTGATCCTTTATTAAAGTTTTGCATTTTTCTTAGTATTTTAAAATTGTTTATGCCATTTCGATAATAAATATACTCTAGTACCATTATCAAATGTTTTTAAAAATTTGAATAACTAAAGATTCTTTGAAGCAAAATCGATTACTGCTTGCCTTAAATTTTCAGTAAAACTTTTTCTTGTGTTTTACATGGAATTGTTTTTAACATGAAAACAGTATTTTTAAATTCTGCAGTCTCTGTACAAACATGCTTCTTACATCTAGCGATATCCCCTAGAAAGGAAGAGCATATCAAAACTTTAGTTCGTTCGTCCGTCCTCTTCCCTTAATAATTTTTTATGCCCTTTATATCTTGTCATTTTGCAGATAAAGCACATACATTCTTGGCTGCCGCAAAATTCTCTAGCAATTTCTAAATTTTGAAAATTTGGCGATTGTGGCTATGCAAAAATACCGTTTTTACCATTTTGAAGTAGGTAATTTTGAATCACTTAAGTTTGAAAAAGTCTGCAGTAATTTTTATATTTTCTCAGAAACCCTAAACTCTGAATTTTTCGATTACCAAAAACAATTTTGTCTCCACAGCCAGCACATACCTTCTTTCGATTTTCTTCATGGCTGAACTTGAATTTCGGTTTAATTTTCATTTTAAAATACTATTTTTAACTTTATAAAGTATACATTAAATAAACAACTAAAGCAAAATGTCACTTGCGTTATAACGTATAGCAATTTTTTTCATAACCACCTTAATTATTGTTTTACAAAATTTGCAAGTTGTAATTATTTCATGGACAAACTTCCAGTATTTTTTATTATAAAAAATATTTAAGATATAAATCTTCGTTTTTTTTGTTATGTTTTGTTTTGAGTGGTAAAAAATAATAGGTGACTCAATAAATTAATACTGGGGAGTAAAGTAATTTAAATGTTACAAAGTTTATTATTTTGCTTAATTTTATTAAAATTGTACAGGTAGTTTTGGTACAATAATTGCAAAATAATATATAGAAATAGAAAAACCAAAAAGTTTGCAAAACTTTAAAATAGGATCAGCTGGGATTTTGATAAATACATGTTAGTGTTACCAAAAGGGTCTATAATCAAAATATGCTATCAGTTTTGGTTGGCATTTTTGTTCGTCCTTTACTTAAGTTTTGACCACCGTGTGCCAGAATTGAATTAAGTCACTCTACTGTGTTAAAAATAGATAAATTTTGTAATAACATTTTTATTTAAAAACGTATCGATTTAAAATTAAAACGTTGTTTTATTTAAAGTACTGATAATTAACTATTATAATAGTTAATTATCAAATATATTTGATATAAAAACTTTTACATGCAAATTATGTTTCTACAAGAGGCATCATTTTTAAGTTAGGGCATAAAGGGCATAACACTAACGTGTTTTACATAGTATATATTCTTTTATCTGGTTTTATAAGATAATGTATACATGTAATATATTATATATTACATGTAATATATTATAATATATTATGTTTAACATACAATTCTTTCATATTTATTTTAAAAAATCGCCATAGATACTTTTATAAATAAATTTAAAAAAATTTCAAGTTTACTAATTTTGATCATAGTAGGCATCTCTATGGTAACCTTCCATTGGAAGCATGAAAGATAATATGACAGTTCAGTTTATAAGTTGCAAATGACTGATTGCGTTTCAATTTATAAGTGTACTATAAACTCAAAACATTAATCTATTAAAATGAATAAACTAAATAATAATTATAGACAGTGTCAGCAAGTTAGAAATTCTAACCTACTTTAATTTTATTTTTTGCTCCACAACCAAGCTTCAATTTATTTTTTACTCGATAGGCAAGCTTTAATTTTAATTCCAAACTGAGGAAAGTAATATTTACCCAATAAATAAATTAGAATAAAGACTTTATTTTTTATGTTGCAATCGGCTATTAAAATATATCTATATTTTTTATTCAGTTGTTTTTCGATTTTTTGTAATTAGTTATTTTTGGAGAAACGCAAACGATATGGATTTGAAATTTTAATAGCGTATACAATTTGATTTAGACTATACCAAAAGTCAATAGTTTTTAAGATATTAATTTAAATAATTAAATTTTGCTAAATGCACGTCAATCAAAAATAGCCTCTAATTTTTTTGTTATTAGGTTTGCTGACATGGGGTTGACATTTTTGGAATATTAAGGCCCGGTTTTATCATCACTAGTTAAAATTAAATTACTACTTAATTGGTAGTTAATGTGTTTTTGTGTTTTACAATTGGTAGTTATTTATCAAAGTGCAGATTATGTTTGAGTTTCCGTAACCACGACTTCTTGTATTAGTAAAGTTGTGGTTAACCTAAAATTACATTTAATATTGTGCTAATTTTAAATATGAATTTATTGAACAAAAAATTTTGTAAACAGGAAGAAATGTGAAAAAAATATGGAAAACTATACATGAAATAATTAATGTAAAACCTAGAAAAACAAATAATAAGACAGACAGACTAAAATACAAAAATAAAGAATACACTGAGAGTAAAGAAATAGCTAATATCTATAATAAATTCTGTACTGAAGTTGCTAAAGAACTGCCAAAATTTATAATAATACCTGATATAACATTTGAAGAAGTTACAAATAATAAAACTATTTTTATGTCCCCTTGTACAATAAGTAAATTAGGAAGTTATCG